TATGGGAGCAGAAGAAAATGAGTTTCGTTATTTTGAGGTGGGGAGGAGATTAATGACCTTGGAGCAAAGCGTGTACACAATAAAGGCTGGGTGTGTGCCCTGGCCAGTTTTGTTAAGTGGTTAGAACACCAGCCATGGACCAATGCTTCTCAGGTTCAATTCACTGCCAAGGGCATGTACCTTGGTCTGCAGGTTTGATCCCCGGCACTGGCAGGGATGCATGTGGGAGGCAATCCGTCAATGTGAGTTTCTCTTTCTCTCTGTCTTTTCTCTACTCCTCCCTCCCTTTCACTCTCTCTAAAAATCAATGGGAAATATATCCTCAGGTGAGGATTAAAATAAATAAATAAATAAATTAATTAATTAAGGATAGTTATGAGGCCTGGAGCATTACTTCATCAGTGATTTTTGCAGTGTTCTGTCTGAAAATAGAGAAGCAACTGAAAGAAAAAAAATAGAAATGAGAACTGTGATTTAATTAATCAAATTTTGTGGGGTGGTTTTCTTCAATAGGGATTCTTCTTCAACCCTATTATTTTATTTTTACTATTGTTACTATCTTATCATTTTGACTGCTTTGCAGGATTGAAACAAACAAAACATACATGAGGATATGTCTGATAAAGCAAAACCCAAATGCTATTAGCCATTCCATTCCAGACCCATGAGATGGAGCAGCTTTGAACTTCATCAATATAAATGTTCCACTCGTACATTTTCGTGTCTTGATGTCAGAGTTAATTTTAGTTACAAATGGGCCTCTTACCTATATGGCTAGTAGAACTTGTAGACATTTGGGACTTAATTTTACTCATGTAAACATGGCCCTACTCTCTTGTCAGTCATTATTAGATACAATGTTAAACTGAATAAAGTTAAATCTGAAACCAAGACAATTTCAAGCTTATGTCAGTTTTAGTCCGCTTTGAGACTGTGTCAATTTCCAATGAAATGAAGGCATCAGGAACTCCATGGCCAATTTTCCCAAGCAAGACAAAGCCTCCTAAGATTCCAGGAGCAGATTCCAGTTGAACCTTTATGTCACAAATCATTGCAATTCCCAGCCCTAAAATCCTCCGGCTGATATGATTACTTTAAAAACCTGGATTGTATCCAAATGTGAGACATAAATGAGGTTGAGACTTACCAATTGCTTGCCATCATCTTTTTATTTTATTTTTATTTTTATTTTTTTAAAATATATTTTATTGATTTTTTACAGAGAAGAAGGGAGAGGGATAGAGAGTTAGAAACATCGATGAGAGAGATCGACCAGCTGCC